TAGATTCGGGAGTGGCTCATCATAAAGACAATTCCGAGGTGAAGGCGGGGTTGGAAGAGGCACATAGAGGTTGGTTCAATTAGGCGTGGATTCGCTAGGTAATTGAGAGTGTACCTGTGTAATTCCTTTAAATCTTCTCAGTGAATTGTTTTGTGGCTGTTGCCCGTGGTTTTTTAATCACAGTTGGAGGTGTCCAATTGTGGTTTTTTCACATTAAAATTGTTGTGTCGTTTTGTCTTGATTGTTTGATTGGGATTGTTTTTTTTGCTTAAAATTGATACATAATCACAAATCAACATCTAGAGGATTTCTAGATTTTTCAATTGGTATCAGAGCAGGTCGTTTTATTTTTTTAAAAAAAATATTCTTTTAGAACGAGATCTTGTTTGATTTGTGATAATGGATACAATTCGTGAAGGAAATTCTATGGTTCGACCACCCCTACTTGACGGATCCAATTATTCTTTTTGGAAAGCTCGGATGAGATCTTTTTTAAAATCTATTGATGAAAAAGTTTGGCAATCCGTCATGAATGGGTGGACTGAACCAACAATTACCGTTGATGGAGTTACAATCCCCAAACCAATTGATAAGTGGGACACAACTGATTACCAAAATAGTAGCTGGAATAGTAAAGCTATCAATTCTCTCTTTTGCGCTGTCACACCTGAAGAATTTAGTCGTATTTGTAATTGTGAAGTCGCAAAAGAGGCTTGGGATATCTTACAAACTATTCATGAGGGCACTCCTTCTGTGAAACGCTCAAAACTTCAAAGGCTCACATCTAATGGACTTCTTCAGAGCAAGCATATTTGCAATAGTGAGAGAAAGTCAAGGCCTAAGCATCAAGAGTCAGAGAAATCATTATAAATGCAAATTTCATGTTAAATCATATGGTTCCAATCACGAAACAGAAAAAATAACATGAAATAAACACACACACAATATGCCTACATCTACAGAGGAGAAGAGATCAAATCTACTATGCACCAACCTCAAGCTATATCAGTTGGTTGGAAATCTCCAAACTTATGAGGCACACAGGAATTTCAAAAAGAAACAAAAAGATATTGCTTTTAGTAGTGCTCATAAAGTTAGAGAGGATTCTGATGAGGATTGTGATATAGATTCCAAGATTACGGCTGCTTTTGTTAAACAATTTAAAAAATCTTTTTTGAAAAAGAATCATAATATTTTGGAATCTACTCATTCTCATAAATCTAAAGGCAAAGATAAACTCAAAATTAATTCCATAACCAAGAAGGAGAAAGGAAAGATACAAGGAAACTTTGAAAGACTCCAATGCTATGAATGTCAAGGTTTTGGCCACTTTGCTCAAGAATGCCCCACTCGGTTGAGGAAAAAGAAAGCCCTCGCTATCACTTGGGATGATGAATCAGAATCTGATAAAGATGAAAGTGACAATGAAGATCAAGGTGAAGAGGGACATAAATAATTTCTTGCTTTCATGGCGGCTTCCGAAGCTGAAGGACAAACAGATTCTCCGAAGATGTCAGTTGAGAATATCACTGATGATGAATCCTCGGAGAGTGATCATGAAGAGCTTGAGCAAGCTCATGAAAAGTTGTATAAGGAATCTCTTAACTTATTCAAATTAAATGACAAACTCACAAAGAAACTCAAAGCATGTGAAAGTGAGAATGTCAAACTGAAGGAGGAGATTTCCGAGGCCAAGATTAATGCCATCAAGGTAGCTGATGATCGACAAGTTCTCTGTGCAAAACTGTTGACTTGTGAGACAGAGAGGAATGAGCTGCTGCAAACCCATGCCATGTATGAAGAAAAGATTGAATCTCTCGAGATGTCACAAGTCGCTTTGGAAGAACTAATGATAAAAAAAGAGCAAGAGCTCAAGTGTGAAATGGCTACCATTGGTCTTTGGAACAAAGAATCAAAGACTTTGGAGGATATCATTGGGTCTCAACAAATGATTTGTGACAAGAGTGGCATTGGCTTTGGTGGTAAGAAAGAGCAAAAACAGAGTGCTTTAACACCTCATGATACAAGAACTCAAGGAAAGGGAGAACAAAAAATTCAACATAAGGATGGACTTCTCAAACTTCCTAGAGTTGGTAAGGTAAAAGAAAAGAAGGTACACCCTGTTTTTATTTGTCATCATTGTGGTATGCATGGTCATATTCGCCCTTATTGTTATAAGTTGCATGGGAAAGTGTATTTGCCTAGACCTAAGAATAGGAAGTTGGAAACCATGTCGAGACGGGTTCCTATTGCAGGGGAAAGGAACCACAATGTCAAGACACCACCCAAGAACTGCAATTCTCACAACCTTGTTCGTACTAAAGCAGTTTGGGTGAGAAAACTTGACTTGTGTTAATTTGTTTATTTGTTTTAGCTTTTGGGTTTTTGTGTGTTGTTTTTAATGAAAAAAAAAAAAAGTGTGCTTGTTCATTTTTTTTGTATTGCTTTATTTTTGAAAAAAAAAAAAAGAAAAATTCCAAAAAGATTTTCTTAGTATGGTTTTGCAAGCTTGAAATTTTTTTGAGTGGTCCTTGGTGCATATTGGATTTGATGAGAATATCCATTACATGTTAATATATGTGTGCTTTCTGTGGTCATTACTCATTTTGGAGTGTGTGTTTTTTTATTAGTATGTCTCATTTTGTACACACTCTTGGATTAGCAAATTTTGGAGTCTTCCGCCTTAATGATTTTTTTTTATGGACTTCTGACATTGGTCTTTTGCGTTTCTAGAGGAATTGACCTATACTAGCATATCTTGGGTGATGTTGAGTCTCTTAACCACCTACCATCCTTTTGCATCTCCATGGCTTTCCCCTTAATTCTTTGCAGTCTAGCCATGAGGAAAAGGCTACCTCAGAGTCACCAACCAGGCCATCCTTCTTATATCCATGCTTCTCTGGTTCGGTTTCCATACTCTTGAGCGTGTCAGCCGCCAATGATTGTGCAAGAAAAAGAAAAAGAAAGAGAAAAAGAAACAAAATATGCAAAAGAAAGAAAAAAAAATGTGCAAAAGAAAGAAAGAAAAAAAAAAGGAAAAGATTCATTGATTGAGGGGGAGCCTCCGTCTTTACTCACTAAATACCCCTTGATTCCTAGTGGTTTGACTTTCCTTTGTCGTGCTTAAGATTCTCTTGTCGGAGGTCCAACTTTCAGGTCACTACTAGGATTGAATCTAGTGTTTGTCGAACTCCAAGAGTCACACACACACTTTTATCATGGGATCTATGCTTTTCACATAATGCATCACTTTCTTGCATGAGGAATTTTCTACAGACTGTGCACATTGTGTTTACTAGTAATTGTGCTTCTTGGATAGTCTTGTGTGTTTTAAGGTACTAATCTGAAATTTCTAGTTTGCTCCACCATATTATTTTTGTCGTTTTCTTCTTGTTTATTATTTTCAGTGTTTGTGGTTGCTTTTAGTGAGGGGGAGTTTGGTTCATCTTGACTTGGGTTGGTTTATGATCTTGCTTTTGTTGTTGGTTTATGATCTTGCTTTTGTTGTTTGAGAGTTGTTTTTCATAAGTCTTAGTTTTCATCTATTCATGTTTTCCATCTCATGTTTCAAGATAATCTTGTCCTATGTTTATTGTTTTTTCTTATGCTCTTGTGGGACTAATAGTTGTTTTGGCGATTGTGGCACTAATAGTTGTTTTGCAGATCATGACCTTAAAAAAGAAGTTGGTTTTTGTTGGCTGTAATGGGTTGGGGTATTTAGGATTTTATTTGTTAGATGTGTTTTATCACGGCATTGCCAAAGGGGGAGATTGTTAGATTTTATTATTGACAATCCCGTTTGACAAGGATTTCTTTAAGAAGTTGATTTTCTTTCAAAACTAGGATTACTTTTGAATTTCTCTAAGTAATTGGATTTCTTCCAAAACTAGGATTACTTTTGGATTTTCTATAAATAGTTGGTTTTTTCCCAAAACTATTGAATTCTTCCAGATCTTCTTTTTGGTTCTTAAAGTTTATATCTGGGAATATTTTATTAGTTTTATTTGATATTTTATTGAGTATTCAACTCATGGTTTAAAGAGAGTACATCAAAGGTTTTGTTTGCTATACACAAGAGAGAGAGAGTTGTTCTTCAGTGGATTCTGAAGAATTTGAGCCTGAAGCTTCGGTGGATTCTGGAGTGGCTCATCGTAAAGACAATTCCGAAGTGAAGACGGGGTTGGAAGAGGCATATAGAGGTTGGTTCAATTAGGCGTGGATTCGCTAGGTAATTGAGAGTGTACCTGTGTAATTCATTTAAATCTTCTTAGTGAATTGTTTTGTGGCTGTTGCCCGTGATTTTTTAATCACAGTTGGAGGTGTCCAATTGTGGTTTTTCCACGTAAAAATCGTTTTGTCTTGATTGTTTGATTGAGATTGTTTTTTTTGCTTAAAATTGATACATAATCACAAATCAATATCTAGAGGATTTCTAGATTTTTTAATGTGTTTTGAAGCATTGCTTATGCAAATCAAACCTGGAACAAATGCAGAGATTAACATCATTCATTTACATATAAATGCTTTCAATAATGACAATAAACTAAACTAATATTATGACACAGACACAGACACAGACACAGCCACAGCCACAGCCACAGCAGCCGAAAGATTGATCCCTTGTATTTACAAGATCCCTGACGAGCTTCGTGTACAAAAGGAAAGCGCGTATAAACCTCGTGTTGTTTCTATTGGTCCAATTCACAGTAACAACGAACATCTGAATGCAAACGAGCCCATCAAATTGAGTTATAGAGATTCCCTTTGTTCTCGAATGCCAGGAGATGAAACAATGGAACTCTGTAGGAGTGCCATGAAAGACTTGGAAGCCAATGCAGAGAAATGCTATGCAGAGAAGGTGAAATTGATCGTAGATGAAAAAAAGATTTCGCTAGTTGAGATGATGTTTATTGATGGTTGCTGAACTTCTATACAAGTATTACTCTATAGAAAACAAATTATTAAAAAGAAGCATAGATGACCCTGTTTTCAGCAGCCTTATGAAGCTCCTCGCTATCAGGCACGGCTTGCTATTGCTAGAGAACCAGATTCCCTTCTTTGTTCTTGAAAAATTGTTCAGCCTTACCATAGAATGTATCCCCGATCGTTCCCACGACGTTTCTCTTACTGAGTACGTCCTTTCCTTCTTTGGCAATAATTTTAGGCCTAGTTTGGGAAGACAAAATAAGTGCACTTTTTGACTTTTTATGAAATATGGGTTAGATTTGGGTTGGGTTTGAAGTGATGTGTTAGAGAGGTGATGTGACTTAAATAAGATGATGCGACTTAAATAGGATAGTGACTTTTTGTCTTTTTTCAATCATGCCAAACTTGGCCTTAGTTTCGGAAATGATAACCTCAAAAAGAAGGTTAATACAAGTGATTATCATGTACTCCATCTCTTACACCAGTGCTACCTTCCTAATGATGAATCATGGGAAGGGAAAGGGGATGAGGATGAAATTGAATTCCCAAAAAAGAAATTCAGATTCCCATCTGCATCAGACCTCGATTTGGCAGGAGTCAAGTTCGTGGCGGGTACTGGAGAAGACATGTTCAATGTCAAATTCGATAAACCTCAAGGCCTATCACGGTGGTTCCATAGAGCTCGTTTTGAAATCCCAACTTTATCCATTTATGATGACGAGATGTGATTGGGACTCTCTTTCCCACCACCCCCACCACCCCCCACACACGTGGGGTTGGTGATTGGAAGAGAAGAAAAAAAAAAAAAAAAAGTTAACCAATCACAGGCCAAAGGGGGTCGTGGGGGTAACTCCCTGTGGGGGTCCGGATCATCTTTCTTACGATGACACCGAGCCATTGCTGAGAAACCTCATCGCTTTCGAGCAATGTTGCCTTGCTGTTCCGCGTTACATGACATCGTATGGCTTCTTTATGGACAAACTCATAAATTCGGCTGAAGATGTTAAGTTGCTTGAAAATGCTGAAATTTTACATAACTATTTGGGTACCGGCGAAGAGGCCTCGGATCTCTTCAACAACATCTGCAAGGAAGTTGTGGTCGGAAGGTTCTATTTTGAAAAAACATGTGAGGCCGCGGGCAATCACTGTCGGGAACTGTGGCCAAGATTTATGGCGTCGCTGAGACGCGATCACTTTGCTAATCCATAGACAGGCATAGCTGTCTTCGCTGTCATTTTCATCTTTGGCCTCACGATTGTGCAGACATTTTACACAGTCGCCCCCTTTTACAAGAAATGAGTGTTGTTGATAATCACTACTCCCTCCGTCCCAAAATAATGGTCCCTTTTGGGGAATCTAACTTTTTTTGGTAGTACAATTATTGCATTTGAAAAAAGTTAATTTTTCAAAATTATCCTTTTGATAGTACATTTTTTGGGAATATCAATGCATAATTGTACTTTTTATCTTGTTTATTAATTTAAAATAAGGGTAAAATAGGAAATTTAAGATGTTAAGTTGCTTGAAAATGCTGAAATTTTACATAACTATTTGGGTACCGGCGAAGAGGCCTCGGATCTCTTCAACAACATCTGCAAGGAAGTTGTGGTCGGAAGGTTCTATTTTGAAAAAACATGTGAGGCCGCGTGCCCACGATCCGCAACACTGTGGCCAAGATTTATGGCGTCGCTGAGACGCGATCACTTTGCTAATCCATGGACAGGCATAGCTGTCTTCGCTGTCATTTTCATCTTTGGCCTCACGATTGTGCAGACATTTTACACAGTCGCCCCCTTTTACAAGAAATGAGTGTTGTTGATAATCACTATTTGGCATAAATTATGTGTGAAACAGATATTAATAAATTATGTGTGAGACAGATAAGAATAATGATTGTGTTTTCTCATTATTGTATTAGATTGATTAAAAACATAAATTATGCGCGAGACAGATATGAATAAATTTTCTTTTATTTATTTGTATTTAAAGGGAAAGTTTTCAATTTTGTTTTAATTTTCTGAGTTTTTTTTTTTGGGTGAATAATTTTCTGAGTTTAGTTTTTTGGAAATTAAATTTTTTATTTTTCTTATTTTTTTGTTTTTAGTAAATATTTTAAAATTTTAAACAATATTTTTACTTTTTTATATGCACTTTACTTAGATGTATATAAATAGTAAAATATTTGTGAAAAAATATTTTAAAAATTAATAAATACACAAAAATACAAAAATTATTCTGAATTCTCATTTTTTTTTTAAAATTTTTGGTATTTAATGAATTTTTTTTAAAACAAATTTCACAAATATTATATTTTTTAAGTGTATTTATGCTAGGTGTATCTAAAAATTAAAAAAAAAAAAACTTAAAATAATAGAAAAAATTCGGTGAAACCAAAAAATACGAAAATCAAAAAGTAGAATTTTTAAAAAGTGTTTTCTGGAAATACCAATCAATTTATTTACTCACAACTTCTTATCTTGTTCACTATTTCTCATGAATTTATAAAACAAATATGATAAAAGAGTTATCTTTTCTCACAATTCCTTATTATTTTTCACTAAATCATCTCATCCAAATGACGTATATATATATATATATATATGAATAATAATCCTGACTAAATATTTATAATTTTTATACCACACCATTTATTCTCACATAAACAATAGAATAGACACAAGTGAGAATAAAAAAAATACCAAAAAAAAAAAAAAATGAATAGAACCTTCCTTAATCATGAATCAATTGGAGAAAATTACAAGCCTATGTTTGGGAAGAAGGTTTTGTGACTTTTTTGGTTAAAATAGTAAAAAAAAAAAAAAGAGATTTTTTAGCTTAATAAGACAAAATATCACATTTAACCTATAATCATTACATTTTTCTCTAACAAAAAAGTTAAAAAAAAAAAAAAATCAAAAAGTCAACCCACTTTCCAAACGAACCCAAATTCGGCTTACTAGACTAATCCTATATAAATTAACAAATCATACCAATTCTTTTTACTTATTGATGAGTAATCATGTTATTAAGGGATAATTACCCCAAAAAAAAAATTTAGATTGCGTTTGGTACAGCTTTTCTAACTATAATTTGAGAGTATGAGTTGTATTTTGAGTTTGTGAGTTTTAGAATTATGATTTGAGTATGAAAAATTTGTTTAGTGAAAGAGTTTTGAAAAGAGTTTTGAATTAAGTGGGAATTATTGATGTGACATATGATATTTGATACAAAAACTTACAACTCATAACCAAACATATAACTCAAAATTCCATTAAAACGTATAACAAAAATTTAAAAATTCAGAAAATATTTTTTTCGAATATATAAAAATTAACATAGGTCAATTGCAAAAAAAAAAAAAAAAAAACACAGTTCCCGGTTAACCAGCCGGATGACCGGTGGGATGACTGGTTAGGACAACTGGTTAGGCCAAATTTGAATTTTTTTTTTTTTGAAAAACGCATATGAGACAGAGTTTTCTGCAGTGTTTTCTCTTAGTTGTGGAAATACAATTTGAAAAGCCTATCCAAACGTGAAGTTTGAATGTGTATATTTCCAAAATTGTTTCAAACAAGGAGCCTTGCAACAAAATATTTTTTTAATTTTGTCAATTTAAACACTGAACTTTTAATTTCTTTTCAATTTAAACCATTTGACTATTTTCATTAAGTAAAATCGATGAAAAAATAAATATTTTAGTTATTAAACTCAATAAAAAAAATATATTTTAGACATTTTATATATATCTACATTGAGTTTAATGATTAAAATATTATTTTTCCATTGATTTTACTAAACAAAAATAAGCAAATGGTTTAAATTCAAAAAAAAAAAATTAAAAAAAGGATTTAAATTGACAAAATTGAAAACTTATGATTGATTTTGTTACAAGACTCAAATCTTGGGGGTTTTTTTTCCCTAAATATTTTAAAATTTTAAACAATTTTTTTTTTTATTTTTTAAAATGCATTTTACTTAGATGTGTCTAAAGAGTAAATATTTGTGAAAAAATATTTTAAAAATTAATAAATATATAAAAATACAAAAATTATTCTGAAACTTTATGGCTCCGTTTGGTAAGACTTTTTAACTATGATTTGAGAATGTTAGGTGTGTCTAAAAACAAAAAAAAATACTTAAAATAATAAAAAAAAATTATGTGCGGCAGATATGAATAAATTATGTGTGAGACAAATATGAATAACGATTGAGTTTTCTCATTATTGTATTAGATTGATTAAAAAAATAAATTATGTGTTTGACAGATATGAATAAAATTTCTTTTATTTATTTGTATTTAAAGGGAAAGTTTTCAATTTGGTTTTTGTAGGAAAGAGTTTGAGAAAGGAGTTGGAAAATTCGAAGATCTTCAAAGATCCTTGAAGAACAACTTCAAATTCTCTAGAATATGATGAGAGGCTTAGATTCTTCAATAATCTCAACTTAGGAACACAACAACAAAGGAGATGATGGAGATAAGAGATTGGGTGAAGAAGAAGGCAAAATGGCTAGAGAATAGAATAATGGCAAGGCTCTCCCATTGATCTCCCACTTTCACTCTCAAGGTTGATAATGGAGAAAGGGAAATTAGTTCTTTCCCAAGAATTCAAAAATCTCCAAAATCCCTCCCTTGTAAAGCTATGGGTGGGTGCTATTTATAGGCACCTCATGATGTAGGATGGAGCCCATGTGCAAGGCACATGGGGGATATTCTCTCTAACCACCTTGTCCGAGGAGGTGACCTCTCCCGCATAAAACTTATGGACTTTACTGTTCACAGATATCCAACTGCACCCAGGTTCCTTCTTCACACCTCGCTCTTTCATTAGTTTTCTCATACTAATTCCATCCCTAAAACTTCCCACCTCCATGTATGTGTTGGATAAAAGAACATACGTAGCTGAATAATCTGGTCGAATGGAAAGGATCTTCTTGGCAGCAATCTCTCCCAGCTCAACATTGTTGTGGACCCTGCACACTCCTAACAATGTCTGCCAAATCATATCATTTGGTTCAATTGGCATTTTTTGTATAAATTCCAAGGCCTCATTTAGGCAGCCTGCACGACCTAAGAGGTCAACAATACAAGCATAATGCTCCATCTTGGGAACCACACCATACGTTTCCTCCATCAATCGGAAATAGTAAAGGCCTTCTTCTACCAAGCCACCATGGCTACACGCAAACAGAACACACAACAATGAAACAGCATTAGGTTTAATACCAAACTGTTCCATCCCTTTGAAAAGATGAAGGGCATGACCCACATAACCATGTTGGGCATAACCTGATATAATAGCAGTCCAAGAAACCATATCAGGGTTAGAAATGCTACTGAATACATTCTCTGCCTCTGTTATGTTGCCACACTTAGCATACATATCAATCAATGCACTTTCTACACACTTGTCAGTGTCCAAACCAGCCTTGAACAGAAGGCCATGGACTTGCCGACCAAATTCAAGAAAACTAAGGGCAGCACAAGCGACAAACACACTAGAAAAGGTAAACTGATTGGGTGTAAAGCCTTCTTTCTTCATCCTAGAGAAGACGGCCAGTGCTTCCTCCCATTCTAAACAATTAGAGTAAGCAGTCAATATGGTGGTCCAAGACACTACATCTCTGTCTTCCATTCTGTCAAAAACCTTCCTTACATCTTCAAGGGACTCACATTTGGCATATGCATCTGCAATTGCATTGTTAATACTTAAGAACATCAAATCATTCCCTGACTTCAAAATCTTCCCATGAACTTCCCTCCCAAACTTTAAACACTTTAAATCTGCAATTGTATTAAACACACTACAATAAGTGTAAACATCAGATTTTACATTGTTTTCACACATTTTAACATACAATTCCAAAGCTTCTTGACTACACCCACATCGTGAATAGCCTGAAATCATTGCATTCCATGGCATGTTCACTTCGCAATTGGTAAAGTTCATATCGAAAACAGATCTTGCACCAGATAAAGCCCCACAATTTGAGTACATATCAACGAGGGCAGTTCCAACAAGAACATTAGACTCCATACCCAATTCGGAGACACACTTGTGAACTTCTTTGCCTTTATCAGCATCACCTAAATTCCCAACTGCCTTCAGAACAGCAATAAAGGAGTACGTATTTGGAGTGAATCCTTCCCTCTTCATTGCAAGAAAATAATCGAATGCTTCAACGTGATGACCATTTGATGTAAATCCTGATATTATTGCATTCCA